CGGCTGCCGGGGCACAGCAAACCGACCCTCGGGGCTGCGGGGCAGAGCGGTGATGGGCGAGGAGAGGCGTCCCAGAGTGAGTGGGCGAGACACCCCAGGGAGCACCGGGGGGGGGGCTGCGGCCCTGTGCACAAGCTGGGACCCCCCGGCATCCCTTCTGCTTATTAGCCGCTTTCTAATTGCTTTGCCCTGTTTAAAGGACCTCTTAGCGGTCAGAATCCTAACTTGAGGAGCTGGCTGCTTCCTCGACTGAGACACTTCAGGTGCTTGATGCCTTTCTTTCGTAGTAGAAGCTCAAAATGTACCTGCTGGAGGCACCTGCCCACTCCTGCCAGGGTAAATGTACATGACTAGCAACCACAAGTAGTGCTGGCATTTTTAATATTTTTTTTAAATTAATTTCTTCTAATATTAGGCTTGTAAGGAATTAGAGATTTATTAATTTGTGGAGCTGTAAAGGTGACTGCGTATAAATATCAAGGTGGGAAAATAAACTGCTTAAGGTCATCTTAGCAGAAGGTATAACTGGTATACTGAAATTAGGAAATGGAGTATAGGCAAAACATTTTTAATCCTGAATTTGTGTTTCCATTAAGCAGGCTGGCATCCAGTAATTTAAAAATCTATAATTGGTTACGTTTTCCAAAATTTAAAAATAAATATGAAATACCTGTAGCAACTCACACTTGAATGGAAGCCCATTTGCTGTGAAGGGAGCTTGTGGGTTTCCTTACCTATGTAGTGCTTTCCACAGTCAAAATACTAAACCATGCGTATGTTGTGCAGGTCTTCTAGCAAAAAAATGTCTGCATTTTTACCATAGAACACTGGAATGATAAAGCTCTTTTTATCTAAAAGAGGGTCTGCTGTGCATTGCCTCAGAATTTTATCAGTGTTAGGCAAATTGTTTATAACACTTAGTGGTTTGGAGCAGCTTCTGTCCAACTGACTCTGCACAGAGAGTGATTAGATGCTACAGTGCAGTACTCTGACATTTACATTTTAAAGCCATTTCTCAAACTGAAGTCTCAAAATATCCCTATCACTTATTCCTAAACTCTCTCTTATTTTCCCATGTCGACCATTGCCTGCATTAGTTTTTCCACTGACCATCTAAGCTGCTAAAGAATTACTTGAAGCAAGTGAATGTGGCTCTAGTCTTTGGTTGGAGTGTGCAACTACAGGCCTCTGTGGATGGGACGAAAGCAGATCCATGGAGAAGCCATTTTCTGGCTTTGAAAAAATGATGGGGACAGGTGTGAGTGAGATGACCTGTGAGGACACGGCTGCACTTCTGTCAACATGCAGCAGTGGGCCAGCATCTGTGCTGGCTTCGTGCTCTTGTGGTGGAGGACAGCTACCTGGGACCTCTCGCTTAAGGAGATGTGGGAAGCTGCATCCTCAGAGCCTGCAGTACCTGCTCTGGTCCTGGGGAGTGGCATCCCTCACCTGAAGCTGGTGGTGGCTGTTCCCAGAGCCACCTGACATCTGCCTCATGTCAGGGTCGTCAGTCACACTGGTGGGTCAGCTGGAGCACCAGCAGTGGCCACTCTTCTTACTGGGGTCCGGCTTGGCCAGAATGCCCACTGGAGCCAGCCAGCCCTCCTGTCAGGCAGCCAGCACCTGGCTGCCAGCCCTTCTCTTCTGGTGGCCCTCTCACTCCAGTAGCATACTAGAACAGGCAGAATTTATACTAAAAGCGCAAAAAGTATTTTAGGCTGGAAATATTTGTATGTTCATTTGCATGAGTGAAAATATAATGAAGTTATATGAGTTTTCACTGTTCCCTGCAGGTGGAGCAATATGTTGGTGAAATTAAAGGTGGCCTGAGACCCTCCATGAAACTCACAGTCATAGGGGTGGTACATTCCAACCCCAAGAGGTAGGTGAAGGGGCTGGTAGGGGCTTCCCCCCTGCCATACATGTTCCCACCTGTCTTCTAAATTAAAATGTTTTCTAGAGGGTCTGGGCTCTTTGAGAGGAAGAAAGTAATACAGATTAATAATTTATAGCTCTATTTAATTTTCCTGCTCTTAGATTGAAATTAAAAGCGTGAGACCTTGGGTGACATCACTGTTTGGACCCTCCATCTGCCCTGCCAGGGTTTTCTAGTCCTTGACCTTATTTAATGTAAATCAGAGGGAGCACACAATGGGCAATTCTCCTCCAGGAAGAGGTGCCATTTTGAACCTGGCTTTGACTTGTTTGTCTGCTGGGGGCTGGAATCAACACCATTTGAAAACCAGTGGTTTTGTCACAGGAGGTGCAGGTTCATTGTTTTCTTTGCATCTGCAATGATCCACTACAGTGCAATTAACACTGCCAAAGAGTTTTCCACAACCTTTTTTATGATACAAATTGGAATCAGCTCACCCACAAATGTTTGATTCCATTCACAAGAGAGGGAAAGCAACATCAGAAGTCAGTAGCATCCTACCAGAAACTGGAGGAGAAACAAAGACCAACCTGTTCCCATCTCTTTCTGCCTATGCACAGTCCCTATAGGAGTCCCATGTTCCAGTCTGACAAGAAACCAATAACTGTCTCTAATCTCTACATGCTTCTGCTGTGCTCACTGTGTCCTTTCACATTTCTGAAAGTCCCAGTAATTTGGTTTTTTTCAGCTTTTCAGTGACTCTGCTCTGCGATCCAGTGGATGCAAACAAAGATGTTGGGCTGTTATTTACAGTTAACTTTAGTGACAAGTCCATCACACGAAATGCACGAATTGCTGGGAAATGGGGAAGAGAAGAGAAAACTATTCCTTACTTCCCGTTTACGGCAGGTGACACATTTAAGGTAATCTTGGGGGTACTATGATTAAGGTGGAGAAAAGGCGGGGAGAAAGCCTGAAGACCTAGCTAACTATTGAAATTGACAGGTTAACTGCTCTAGTATGGCAAAGAAAGCAACAGTTTAAGCCCCCATGAGAGAGAACCATTCCTTTCTCTAGTCTTAGTGAGAGAACTCACTATAAGGAACTTTACAGTATGATCTCAGCAGAGAGTAGATTATTTATTAGGGGTACTTCAGAAGAACCGGTAGACTTTGTGCTTCACTGTCCCCATCACATGGTGTTCTCAGTCCATGCTGATGAAATCAGCTCTGCTGCTTATCTCCAACACCATCCCCTGCCCTTGTTCATTGCAGATGGAGCTCCTATGCGAACACCAGCAAATACGGGTCTTGCTTGACGGACGGCAGCTCTGTGACTTCACCCACCGCATTCAGCCCCTGAACTTGGTGAAAGCTTTGCAGATCACAGGGGACATCAAGCTTACCAAAGTAGCTTGAAAAAAAGGAGACCACAAAATCACCAGAGGACAGAAGCAAATGTACTTTCTCCTGTCTGATAAATGCTTTATCTTTTTCCCCTGGATGATTCTGGAGAGTGGCAACTGTACATTTTTCATTTTCTGATGTATTTGAAACACACACTTATTTTCTCATAGACACTTAGCAATTGCAGAGCTATGGCTGGTCCCCATAAATCCAAAGGCCTTTGCTGAGATAATCTCTTGGCTTCTCAAACTGCAAGATTTAAGATGCTCTGAAGTATTTCACATCCTCGTGGTCCCCTAGCCCCTAGGCATGCCAGCTGGTGGAGGTCAGTCCTCTGTGGTGAGGTGGCTGTTACCCTTGTGACAAGAACTGGGCAGTATCCCAGTGGTGGGGCTGAGAAAAGAGAAGCAGAAGATTTCATTGTAAGTGAATAAGGGAGTCTGGTGGGCCCCAGCAAGGCTTAAGTTAGCAGGAGGGAATTGCTTTTCCTGGAAGCTCTGCTCAGCCAGCACAAAGCCATTTGTGCAATAAATGCCTTACCACCATCCCTGTCTCTTGCAGGTAGCATTCTTTTGAGTTGGAAGGGTTCTTCAGTCTCCTCTGGACCAGCCTTAGGAATGGTATCTGTAGCTGAAACAGCATTGCCTGTTCTTGTTTCTAATTAAAACTCCAACTTTGCTGGCAAACTTCTTTACCAGCTCTGTTAAGTATTTGAATGCATGTGAATGTTGTGCTGTTATTTCACTGTAGATTTAGAAAAAAGTCCTAAATACATGGCTGTTCTAATACGTATATAAGCATTTATCATAGCTGCTGCCTTTGGCTCTGTTATGATTGCTCACTTATAACATAGGACGAAGGGAAAAGTCTTTAGATAAAGAGACTTTCTTTTTCAGTACTTAACTTGGGGAACAAAACATCTGCAAAGACGTGGTTCCATGGACAGAGGGCTATCAAATTCCTGTGTGACTTCAGGGAAAATATATAGCATGCTGTGTTCAGAGGGCTTTTGGAGGTGCTGCAGAGTCTGGCTGTCAGATACAAGAACTCAGATAACACAAAGAATTTTATGAAAATAGCATATCACAGCAGGCTGGTTGGGTGTTGAAATCCTCTCATACATTACATTCTACCCTATGGTATTGTGGAGAATGTCTCTGTTTCTTTATAAATCTAAATTAATTGTGTGTGAAACCATTATTTTTATATACTCTAGCTGCCCGCTGAAGAAAATCATGTCTAAAGAGCAGAGGAGATTCAAATGAATGGAACTTTTTTAAATCTTTAATGGTATCAAAGTCAAGTTTACTAGACAAAAAATGGAAAAATGTATGGCTTAAAATAAAAAAGCAATAGTCAGAACTGCCGTTAAAGTTGTAAGTCCCAATGGTGCTCCACATGAATGGACTTAAGGTCATGATCCGGAGGAAAAGTCTTGCTTTTATGGCTGTGTGATTTATTCAAATATATTAATCACCAGCAATTGTCTGGAATAGCTGCCACTGGTCTGATTTGATATTCAGGATCCTGTGCTGCTGTGGGCTATTACCAGCACAAGAATAATCTATATACTGGAGAGGAGGATCCTTAGGTCTTTTCCAGCCTAACAGAGAACCAAATGATAGAGCAGACAGGCGGACAGACAGACCCCTGGTTTGTTTCACATTAGTGATTATCCTGGCAGCTGGATTGTTGCTTAGCACAAGACTGTTGTGGTATATCACGAAAGGCAGCCTCAGACACCAGGACCTTTCATTACTTGGATTCAATCAGTCTTAACTAATTAAGTTTATGAGCCCCTTTATAAAGGGGAAAGGAGCAAGACATTTCTGCTTTAGGATAAAGCACAACCTGGATCTGTCAGATACAGACTGAATACTTGTACAAAAGATGCTCCATCTTGGAACATTATATCTCATTGTTTCCTTGTAAAGTCTTGTTTGTCTGTGTCCATCCACCTGTTGTCTTTTTTCTCTTGGTTAGATGGTAAGGTCTTGGTGGGGAATCATTGTGAATCTACATGACTCCTAGGCATCTTGGATGCTGGTCTGCCAGAAGTTGCTAGGTGCTATGGCGATACAAATAACAAAAATAGACTATCAAAGGGAAAAACCAACACTCCCAGACAACGACAGCAGGAAGCTTCATCACAAATGTGACTTGTCATGTGGCATGGAGTCCACCTTGCTCATGTCAGTGGTTTGATTGCCTCAATCCACTGTGCTCGCTCTGTCTTGGAGCTGGCCTGGATATAATAATGAATGTCATTTTTGGTGATGATTTTGAAGAGGTTGCCTTGCACATTGCCCTTCACTCCTGCAGAGGAAAAAAAAAAAAAAGACAGATCAGGAAGGTGCACGGAGGAATCCTTCATGGCAGATGTTAACCTTCATAGGGAAGAATTTCAATTTAGTGAATTAGGGTATCAGACCTCAAGACTTTGAGTTATACAACACTCAAAAAGAAGGTGTTTCCTCTTTGTCTGTTAACTCTAGACTATTAATCAGTGTCTTAAGACTCTCAGAATTCATCTGACCAAGAAAAGCCCGTAAAAAAGGGAAGACCCAAGATATGAGGAAGTTATGCTAGAAGAAAATCCCCTCTGGTATGAACAGCCCAGCAGTACGGTGATTTTTCATGCCACGCCTCTTCCCTTGTTTGCAAGGGGAGAGGGAAGGCCAGCCTACTGCATACAGCCAGGCATACACACAAACCCACCTAAAGGCCATATTGCTATGGCATAAATATGTATGTATGGAAGTTTAAAGACTTATGCTTACCTGCTGGGACTCCGTTGTCCTCCAGAGCTGAGACAAGACAGCCACGAAGAGAAAATCCACCCACTGGCCTGTTTTCTTCCTGCAAATAAAAAAGTAAGGAGGCTTATCTGGAAAATACCATCATTAGAATAATTTCCACATAAATTATTTTGGTGAGGGTGGAGGTGTAATGCCAGTTCTTCCAGATACAAAACATCTCTGTCACAAGAGGAGTCAATTAGGACATGTAAACAAATATATTATTATGTTGTTTCAGTCTCAAGATGTTTCTCTGAAGGAGCTGGCAATGGTGGAGATAAATTAAAAGCATAGGGGTAGGCTGACAACCACATCTGAAACTTATATACAGCCTAATCAATAACAAACCATATTAATATGTATATTTCTGCAAGTTTTTAGCTTACTGCTTTTCTCTGAGACTGTATGGGAAAAAAAATGACTGTTTTCACTAGTTGGCTTTTTCTCTTGTCTGATCTTCAGGTTCTGCAGGTTGAGTTTATAGCATCAGAAGGGCAAGTTGCAGTGAAAAAAAACCCCAAAAAAACCCAGTGAAACAGGAAACAAAAAGTGAACCAGCTCCATAAGCTCCTTTCACTGTTATGTTGTTTGTGTTTTCTTTCAGAGTTACATGAAGCATTTCTATACAAGTCCTGTGCATCTGGGGCTGATGTATCTACATGCCCTTCTAGGTTGCTCACACTGATTATCACATCCATGAAGATAAATTCTACTATTTCCTGAGCGAGTTTAAAATGGAGTAGCAGAAATTCCTATAAATACTTTGGCATCAAGGAGACCCTATTCAATGTTGCAATAAGAACATAAAAAATCCCAGTAGCAGCATGACCCTCAAGTGGTGGGATGTCAGCCCAGAAAGATCATAGCTCAAGAAGAATCCTTGCATGGTCCCAGACTGTGTGGATACAGCAAAAGATTAATCCCAAGAACCCTGCTGCCCATTGGCTAAGGAAAAGGAATCTGTCTGGGTAAAAGACAGGAGGAAAGATGCAGGGATAGAAAATCCTACAAGGACAACCTCCCAGGGTAAGGCTAGAGAAGTTTTATTCCCCAGGAAATGGATAGTGGAACCCAGAAAGAGATTTGGGTGAGAGCAATTTTTGGGTGGGATTTGGATGCAACACACCATAATTGTGTTTTCATTATAATGTTTAGATCTGTAAGAAGCTTTCGGGAGGTAGTAACTCCCCAATCACATACCTTAGTGGGGTCATAGTAGTGCAAAAAAGCAGGATCAGCTCTCAAAACAAATCTCCTCACCTTCCAGTTTTTCCTCTTGTGCCCCTACAAAACAGAAAAATTAAAGTTACCACCAATAAATACCTCCTGCAACAGCCATTTTTCTGCAGGTTCTGAAATGAGCAGTTTTGAAGACAGCAGAGAAAAAAAATCTTTTCTGACAACGTAGTAACTCCCAGGATTTTCTGCTTAACATCCTTCTTCATACCTTCATAATTCCCTCCTCTCTCCCTTACTTGTGCTGAGAACCAAGAAAGCAGAATAACAGGACCGAGTGATTACATACCTGATTCCTGCTCTTAATTTCAGAATAAACAAGGGTCTTGAATTAAAAACCCATGCTGTGCCTGGGCTGAGGGGATTATGTCAGG